TTAAGAGGCACGTCAACACGTCCAGGACAAACAAGGTTTCTCTTCCACCCACTGAGGAAGAGGAGGCTGTAAGTGAGGTGTAGCAGAGTCGGTGAGTTTCCAGCTGTGCAGAGATCACTGCAGCTTTCACTCACTCTCTCAGAGCGCTGACCTCCTCACATCAGACTCCATTGCTCGTGTCCTGTCTGCACGCCGGCTTGTCGTGTACGCTGCGTCGCTCTGTCACAAGACATGTCCCACATTTGCAGCCGCCATCGCCGGCCAGCAGGACGAGAGCGTCTGTCAGGAGAGCTGACACGCATGCCACTTTACTGGGCAACTGACAGAGGGCCACGCCACACTGTCACTTCTCCCAGATCCATAGCCTGAGGATAAACAACAGACACACACACAGGCAGATACACACCCTCACAGTTGTTAATAACACACGAGTAAACAGAGCAGGAAGCTCAAAGAGTGACTGACTGACAGTCTGACCATCCGGGGCTGAGGATGCTGCAGCTCTGTGTCAGCCCTCATTCTTACAATCTCCAGCTGTCACATCAAACACTCTGCTTCATGTTGCTCCGCCTCCAGACTCACCCCTCCACCTCCCCCACCCCCTCCGTCTGTGCAGAGATCTCATCAGAGTATTTCCTGCAGAGTTGAGCATACAGACACTTTATCATCTATCCTGATGGTCTTAGAGTAAATATTACCCCACACTGCTGTCAGTCTGTAAGTCTGTTAGAGATCTGTTCAAATATAACTTATTTTTTAGAGATCACAGGCCTCATGTAAAGATTCTGCTGAGTGCAGAAGTCTGCGTGAAAAGTGCTGAATAAAAAACAGCATATTGTCTGAGTTTGGAGCAGGTGCTCCTCGCATGCATCCTCAAAGTTTTTTTGACTCTCAAAGTACTTAAAAGAAAACATGCTCTAAAAGCAAAGTTTGGAGAAAAATCCCCCAAATTCAAAGATTTTCCCCATTCACAATTTTTGGGCTGTTCAGCTGAGGACAGGCCTGAACCCTTCCTGAGTTGGGTGTTTCAGTGTAGTTTCAGTAAGGCTATCAGGCGCTCCTATTTCACCACGTGATTATCGTGATCAAAACAGTTTTACACTATGTTTGTAAGAACTTGCCAAAAAAGCATTTTTGTGATGCGTTTTTCTGTCCTGTGTTTGGATTCCTGTATTCCCTATCTTCATTAAAAAAGGCTTTTATTTTGAAATGACACATTCAAGACTTCTAGTAGTGTCTAAGTCACAGAAGAGAGTGACAGCTATACAAGAACAAGTTTGGAAGTAAAAAAGTCTGATGTGCAGTCCAAAGAAGAAGCTTTTAGGTTCGTTTTGGATAAATCTCAGGAAATCAGTTTTAAAACTGTCTGGTGGTCATCCTTGGTGAGATGCTACAGCTAGCTTGTAGCTGCTACTTCCTCTTGTCCACACTTACTGTTAAAATAAAGACGCCTTGATCGTCAGGTATGACGGACTACTTAATGGTTTTAGTCTGTCATGATATCACAGAAAGGCAGAACTTAAAAGCAAGAAAGCTGAGCTTAAGGACACCCAGAAATGATACAGAAGCGTTTGAATCATGTTGGCTAACATGAGCCAACATTTCCTGTTTTTCAGTCAGCTATGGAATGTTAAGCATCAAAAGTTCTTGAATTCTGTGTTCCACATTGCTGGATTCTGGGATTCCTACTTTGACAATGTTGGATTCCACAGTTCAAGTATCAAGTTCTGGGTTGAAAAACTCTTAAATGTGGAATTCTCGGCTGAAGAATACTGGGTAATTAAATTTGGGTTCAGGAATGCTGGATTCTAGAATTCTGGGTTTCAGAATGCTCTGTTCTTGAATCTTGGGATAATCTGATCTGAAATTCTGGGTTGAGGAATCTTAAATTCTGGAATTACACGTTCCATATTGCAAGGGGACCTACTATTACGTTGTGGAGTGTTGAGGTTCTGGAGAGCTTTGAAGGTTTTTTTGAAGAGGGTTCAGAAAATGTTGATTCTTGAATGCTGTACCATAGAGTTCTAAGTTCAGGAATGCTGGAATCTGGAATCCTGGATTCTTTCATACTTGGTTCCAGAATGTTTTGTGATGTAATTCTGGGTAAAGGAATGCAGAGTTACAGAACGCTGAGTTCGAGAGTTTTAGCTCCAGGCTCATCGGTTCCAGAATGTTGGATTGTAGAATGATGGGTTCGTAGTGCTGGGTTCTAGAGTGCCTGGATGTGGCTTAAAGAGACAGGAGCTAAAATAAGGCATACCAGAGAGGCTGAAATTAAGGTTACCATTTCTTCATGGAAAGGACGCTAAGGCAGAAGAACGACCTGATTATTATGACGATTATTGCTTCAAGGAAATGATGAAGTAATGATCATAAATGTTCTTCCTTTAGCTACGTCACCCCGCAGCAGTCTGTTAGGGACTGGCCTGAGGTCTTGCTCCAAGCAAGTGGCTGCTAAAAGAGAGAGGGTGAGTTGTGTTTAGTCTCTGCTAAAGAAATCAGGCAAAGTTAAAAAGATTTGGTGGCTAGTGCTGTGGCTGTGACCCTATATGTACTGTTGATGAAGTTAGGTGCTGTTCTGAGCATTATTTGTGGCTATAGAGTGGCGTTTTGGTTGAGGTTTGTTTATGGCTCCTCAGACCGCTGTGTATTGCTATCATGTGGTTGTTACTAAAGTTGGTATAACTAGAGAAGCAAGCAGTCTTTAACATTCATCTCTTAAGGGGGTGTCTAACTCGGTGTTACTGTGTGTTTGACCCTAATTTACTTTTACGCCAGAATATTCCTTTGACACTATTCTTAACCTTTGATCGTGTGAAGATACTACAGAAGAACTTGTTAAAGCAGAGCTAAGGTCAGTGAATTCATTTGTTCTTCATTGGTACAAGATTATCAACGTTTGAGGAGGTTGTTCAGTCCATTTTTAGTCTGGTTTATTATTCTTCAAAAATAACTATCCGATTAAATAATTAGTCTGGGCTTGTAATTTTGCTTTTAAATCAGATTATTTGTAAAACATTGATGAAATATGTCATTTTTAGTGACTGATGTGCATTCACTGGCCTATCTTTTCTTTATTCTGTTTAATCTCAGGTTACCTCTGATGCTGCAATTTCCTCCAGTAAACAAAGCTGCAGATGAACCTACAGTGCCCTCCAGTGGCTGAAACTAGTACTATACTTCTTCAAACAAACATAATGTGGGGTGTTTCTCACCACATCTTTTTTATTTATTTTTTTATTTACTCATGGTACTTTTAAAAAAGTAGTAATCAATTCTTAAAGATCATCTTTCTCATCTATAGACGTTCCGGAATAACCAATGTCTAATCTGTCTGCTACAAAGGAGAGGTCAGCGTCTTTAATCCTGGGATTTCAAACCCATCATCTCAACATCTATGAAGTCTGAGAGCTTAAATCAGAAATGCATGCAGCACCAGAGCCCAATTTACAATTTAATGTTGTTTTTAATTCAAATTCAGACTCTATTATGTCAGTGTTTACACTGTAGATAGGTAGGGAAAAACTGCACAAAGTACAATTTGCATTTTAAATTTCCACTCCTCATGCATACAGTGTTTGGACAACTTCTAATCAGGGTAATTATCTGAGAGTTAAGTTGTAATTTATGATGCCAGAAACAACCGTGAACTTGTTCAAGGTTCCCGAGATCCACAGTGGGGAATCCCACAGAGGGAAAGTGTAAATATGGAGTAATGAGCTGATGTTAGGATCACATGCAGTACCATAAGCTCACCTACAGGTGGCAGTGTGCCTTCATACAACAAACAGCATCCAAGAGGTTGTTTTTTCTGAAGCCTGAAGAAGCACAGATCATCGGTGATAATTATTAAAAATATATATGGGGGCATATTCATCGTAGCATGAATGCAATGATAGTGTTTGAGCTCACACAGAGATCTGTTTATTTGAGCTCTACAGTGAATGCTAATGCTCATGAATGCCAAACGAATCAATGTGATGCTCTTTAAACACTGCAGGAGGCTGAAACCCTCATCGCCTCAACTCAAATCTCAGTATCTCCCTCCATGTGTTGCAAACATTAAGATCATCACAGCTCCTCCTGCAGCTCCTTTCAGTGTCTCAGCTGTTTAACTTCAGTAACTCTGGCTAATTAAGTGTGGTGTGGGCTGACCTGTTGGGACCCCCACGCTTTGAGTTCATGCCGGAGACTCCCAGAAGCTCGGGTCAGAAGACTTCAGGCTGTGGACATGAATGATTAATCCTGCATTTGACTTTTCTCTTCTCTACAGAGAATGGAGCTGAGTAAGATGGGAGCAGCTGGTCCAGGTTGTTTTTAGTTCTGCATCATCTCAATAAAAGAAGAAAGACCAAGTGCAAAAACAGGTTTATCATGTGAAGACTTTAAATTGACCTTGTGTCTGCTGCACATTTTGATTTGAAGATAACAGACTGACCAACATTTGGTGTTAAAAGGACTGTCACATATTACATACTACATATCGACCAATATATTATCACATATGTATATGGTATGTATCACAACCACCTTTTAAAAAAATCCCCCAAACTGATGAGAAAACTTGTCTTAGGTACAGCAGTGACTCACCTTCCTCTAATGGAGAAGGAGATAAGTGGTGATACGCTGTTACAAAAGCAAGTGTACACAACTAGTTTCTGTTTGCCTTAAAGAGGAAGTATTTTGCATTATTTTGGGTCTTCAGTAGTTTGCTTTTTCAGCCAATGACCAAAATGCTTAATTTCAGACACTTTCTCTTGAAGTCACATCAAAGCATTCTGGAGCCCTAAACTCCAGAACCCAGCATTCCAGAATGCAACATTCCAGAGCCCAACATTCTCGGAGCAAGAATCCCAGAACCAAATGTAAAGCACCCATATTTGGAAAACCCAGCATTCTAGATCCTGCTTTCCAGAATCCAGCAGTCCTGAAGGCAGGGTTCTGAAGTTCAGTGTTCTAGAGCCAAGTGTTCCAAACTCAGAATTCCAGAATCGAGAGTTCAAACCTAAAATTGCAGAACCCGGCATTCCAGAAACCAGATATCCAGATCCTTGCACTCTTGAGCCATAATTCTGGAATTCAAAATTATAGAATCCAGAAATCAAAGACCAAGCATTGAGAAATAAACATTTTCAACAAAAAAATACCATAATCCAGCACAATTAAAGCCAGAATTCTGAAATTCAGCATTTCATAATCTAACATTCAAGAATTCCAGAATGAAGGGACAAGACTTTCAGAAACCACATATTTCAGAACCTAGAATTCCAGAACCTAGAATTCCAGACACAGAATGGCTGAACCCAGAATTCCAGATTTCCACAACCATGCGTTCTGTAACCCCACATACCAGAATCCAGCACTCTTCTGAAATCTAGCATTCCAGAACCCAAAATTTTGTCATCCAACTTTCCAGAATCGAGTATTATAGAACATAGAATTCTATGAGCAAGAGTTTGCAATTTCAGAATTTTAGTACCCAGCGTTCCACAACAAAGAATGCCTTCAACATGCAGGGCAATAGCCGTGCTGCCATTCCCACTACAAAGCTAGGATTTACAAGTTTAGCATATCATAACCCCCAATTCAAGAATCCAACATTCCAGAACCCATCATTTAAAACCCCAGAGATACCAGAACCAGGCACTCTGGAACCAAGCTCTCTCAAAACCAGCACCCATTAAGCTCTGAAATCCAGGAGTGTAGAAGTTACCAGAAGATGAGAATCCAGCCTTCATGAATCTGAAATTATGGAACCCAGTGCTGTGGAACATAACGTCCTTGAACACAGCATTCCAGAATCCAGAAAATGTAATCAAGCATTCTGAAAGTTTGCATTCAATAACCCCCAAAACCCAGTTTTTCTTGCATAGATTTTCAGCGTCCAGCAATTTGTAACTCAGGCCATGAAATATATGGTGTTTTACCATTTGAAATAAAAAAATAATGAAATATGGACGTATGTTGCAGTCCCCATACCTGACCTGGTCAGGTAAGTAAAGTGAACCTCTCCTTCACCTCTTCACCTCAACTTTTTGGGTACATTAAGTACCACTACTGCCCCCTACTGTGAAACAAGTATTTACAGGGTATTACTGTGTGCTTAACCTCAGCACAATTTCAGTATTACATTATTTCAAAAGCCATTTTTTTGTAATGGTAAATTGTGACAGCCCAGTCCAGGATATGTTTAATCATGCATCATCTCAGTGAAGCAGGACAGACAAATGAAAAACCCAAAGGGATTTTTCATAAGTAGGTAATAAAATGAAATTGTCTAGTTTTACTGTGTGTCTGCTGCACACTTAGATGTAAAAGAAAAAAACAGCCTGACCAACATTTGCTGATGAAAGTTGGCTGGAACATCAAAAGAGGGAGAGATTTGAGGACCAGATGAGATTTAGTGTTTGAACAAGATCAAGCTTGGAGTATTATCAAAGATAATTATTTATTTAAAAAGAAATGGAGAATACAAATGAAACAAAATGATTTTTGTCACATAAACAGTTTCATGAGTCATTAACAGCAAAAAGAATCTGGTGTCGCTGGCAGGAAACTCATTTAGCGTCTTCGTCGCAGACGTTTCTCTGATGAGCTTTATGACATGAAGAGTTTGGACACCTCCAGATGTGCTTTCTGTGAAGTAAATACTGTACAGTGCAATGCCGAGTAAACAATACATCACATCTGGTCATTCATTGGTAAACATCTTTTATATCAAAGAGCCGAAATGTTCAAAGTTTCATCGATACAGTACATTTATAGCAAACTTCACACAGACCCTGGGCATCCTCCCAGTCTCAGAGTATTTCACATTTAATTATCTCCCTTTGGATTTCCCACCACCCTCCTCTGATTAGGGTTGCTTTCCCGCAGCCGTCACTTCTCCTTCCACAAACCTCAGCCGCTCTTCTCACAGTTCAGCTGCCCTCTGCTCTCTTTCATTTTGTCCCTCTGGGCCTCCATAGTCTTGGAGTCTCCTCTAAGATCGCTCACCACGGCTCGGAGGGTTTTGAACCTGTCCATCCTGCTGCTTGCACCCGCCTGAAGTCTGACCTCTGAACCCTGAGATGCACTGAGCGAGCTGAGGGAGCGCACCGCTGCCAGGCCGCGCTCCTTCCCGTTGGGGCGGCGTGGCGTTGTCATAGTGCCCGCCTCCCCCGGGTGCTCCATGTCCCTGATGACCTCACACAGGTAGCGGGCCAAGTCCTGGCTGGAGAAGGAGAGGGTTTTCTGGGAGCGGCGGAAAGTCAGAGGAGAGGGCAGCGACTCTGTCTCTGAGGGGGGGATGGCGAGGCGCAGGGCAATAGCCGCGCTGCCGTTCCCATTAGACACCCCCTTCTTGTTGCTGTCCTGGGGGAGCTTGGTCTGCGGGTAGGAGATGATGCTCTGAGGGTAGCTGTAGCGCAGGGACTGAGCTGGGCTTGGCTGGAGAGAACGCTGCAGCTCCACCATGTTGAAGGCATTCTGAGAAAACAGGGAAAAATTCAGAGAAAGGAAAGAAAGAAGAAAATGATGCAACACCCCCACACCCCCCCTGGAATTTAGGAGATAATGAAAAACAACATTTCCACATGACACCAATCTGTGCTCAGAGCAGTGTGGCTTGGTTAATGCCTCTGCTCGTAAATGAACCTGCTCCTCTGTCTGAGACAAAGATCTACCATGAAGGGGGAGATGTTGGCTACAACAGCCCCATTGATTAGCTCGATAATTAATTATCTGATTGCAGAGGAGAGAAAACTGCTATTACCACCACCACTATTAAAACACAGGCATTAACAGCTATTGCTGTCTACTTGCTTAATTTCATCTAATTGGCTCGTATTCCCGGATCTCCAGGGATCTGGTATTTGGTTTTTATTTTCAGACACCAACATACACCACTCTGAAACGTGTTTGCTGCGTTAGCATCTGTTTACGACAACAAGCCCATAACAGCCGGGATTCTGTGAAAATTGTATATATAAATAGAATTCAACCAACAGAAAAATGTTGTCGTGTATGAAAAATATCTGCTCGTTCTAAATTTGTTGTCAGCAGCATGTTTCAGAAAAGCAGTTCCAGGTTCATATATTTCCTTGTGTGTCATCAGCCCTTCTTTCACCAACTCCCTATAGACGTTAGTGGACTCAACAGACCGGGTTCTGGAGTCTGAAAGTCAAGTCCCATTCTCGCCTGATAAAGGATTTCAACTGCTCAACAGTTCAGGGTCTTCTTTGTCCTGTTTTTGGTGTCATGATGCTCCAAATGTTTTGAACGGGGGACAAGTCAGGACTGCACACCAGTTTCTCAGCAGGACTCTTCTACTACAGAGCCATGCTGTTGTTTGTCATTGTCTTGCTGAAATATGAAGGTCTTCCCTGGAAAAGTCTTTATCTGGATGTCAGCAAATGTTGCTCCTAAACCTGTAGATATTGTTCGGCATTAATAAATGATCCCCATACCATCAGGGATGCTGGATTGGAACTGGAAGCTGAGAATGAGATGGTTGGACTCCTCTTCCTCTCAGTCCACCTGAAATGGGCCCAGGTCCAGAGAAGTCTCTGGTGTTTCTGGGTCCTTCTTTTATCTTGTTTCCTCTTTTTTTATGGTTTATGGTTTACAGACAAAAGTTTTTGGAAGGGATTTTGAGCCCATGCAGTATTATCCACTGCAAAGTCCTGAGGGACTAAAAAAAACATCCAGGCTTGGTTTTGGCCCTTGTCCCTTCAGTCCAGATACTCTAAATCTTTTAATGATATTATGTACTGTAGATGAAGAAATCCACTCAGTCTTTCACATTTGATACTCAGGAACATTACTCTGAAACTGTTGAACCAAAAAGTGGTGAACCTCTTCCCATCTTTCATTCTGTCCTTCTGAGGGACTTTTTGGAAACATATTGCAAGAATCAAATTTAGATAGGCATATGTTTTTCAAAAAACAATGATGAATGATGTATAACACCACTTATATTAAAAAATAAAGGTTCCAATAAGTTGAAAACCATCAATATAATTTATCCACAAGTCTATTTTATGGATGCTTTAGTATCTTTTTTTGTTTGTATATGTCTTTAAAAGATTTTGAACGACCATGTGATGGCATCTAGAGAACATCTGGAGTCTGGGGACTCATGGAAGTTGAGTATTTGTGTTTAGTGATGCTGTATTTACCTGCCCTTTCTGTCTAAATAGCAGCATGTGTAAATGTATACCTGGTCCTGCTCCCCTCCTCCCTCCTCGTCGTAGTTGAGCACGTTCTCCCGGATGTCCTCCCACTCGCCGTGGTGCGCAGACACATGGTACACACCCTCCTTCAGGCCCTTGTGCCTCCTCCAGCAGGAGTAGAGGAACAGGCCCAGCATCAACACTAGGGGGCGCCAGAGAGCGGGTTAGCACAGCAGGGCATTCACACACTATTAACATGAGCTTAAGAACAGGAGACACATTTCTGGGTGTGAATGAATCTGACAACGTGAGGAGAAGTGATGATGTGAAAAGTGAAATCTTGTGTTCTTCTTCAAACAGGAAACTAGGGTGATGCAGACAAACACGATTTTCCTGCTGATAGATTTTCCATCGTATTGATCTGTCCTGCGCCGCGAAGACACACTAATAGAGCTGGTGTCCACCTCCCTCGTCTGTTTCCTGTCCAAACAAAGAGCGCAGGTCCTCGGAAACCTATTATCTGAATTTCTCCTCCTCCTCCTCGCTTAAACTCAAAGCCTGGGTGACTTGGCTGAACGTGGCGAGGAATACTGCGAGAGTGGTGCAGGAAAAGGTCCTAAAGCACACACATCAATCACAGCTATTGTGTGCTGAATTATACAACATGCTGGACTGACCTTTAAAGTCCATTAATCTCAACCAATATTTTTCCCCCATCTGCCATCCCTCTTTCTGTCTCCCTCTCTCTTTCCTATCTGTTTTTTACAAGTCCTCTCTTCCTTTTTCATCCCTGTAACCCTCTGTTTCGGAGCTCCCTCCTCCTCCTCCTCTTCCTCACTCATTAAGTCTCTCGCTGTTGCTGTTTTTCGGCTACTCTCTGGCCTCCGACTGGCCTCGCTTTTATCGTCCGCGCTAGATGGGATCCATTTCAACTAGAATAGTTTATACAATGCGTGCTAAGTATCAGTTTAATTGGAAATCTTCTGAGAAATGCAAGGTAATCACATTAGTCTGAGTTTTAAAGTAATTGCTTCAGAGGAGAATAATGTGCTGACGGTTCTTTGGGGTCACACTAACAGGCAGGTATTCATAAACAAAGATGGAAAAACAACCCCCAAAGAGCCAATCTTCCCCTCAAAAATGTTATCTCAATTAAAAATCATCATCTCCGTGTATTCACCGCCTTGCATCACAGCCACTTTCATATTTCTATGCGGCTCTCACATCAGATGGAGAGAGATTGTAAGCTTCCCTTCTTCCCTCGCTCCTCAGCCTGCCGTTCTCGGTGAGGGGTGGATTGAGAGCGGTATTGATCAGCTGACCCGGCCCCCTCACCTTGCAGAAAACACCAGAATCTCGATGAGGCCCGGTGCCCGCTTCTCCCCCTCCTCACTTTCCTGAATTACCTGCTGCCTGCAGGCCGGCCCCCGCCTCTGCATCACCTGAGCCGATCCACACATACCTG